CATATCTTTGCCGAGATACTTAGCGTTTTAAATCTTTGTTAATACGAGGGGCACGGGTGGTCCAGTCGTCTAAGGCGCCGCGATTCGCTCTGCAGACTTGCTTCCCTTGTTCTCGTCAGAAACCTATGATTGTGGGTTCGAATTCCGGTTCGCCCCGATTATGTTTCTATGTTTGTCAGCACCATACCCGTGCTCGTGGGTTTAACCGAAGTGGTAAACGTCTGAGACCTGCATCCCTTCGGGCTTTCCTCCCACATTAAGCTGACACGCCGTGATATAATTGGAATACTGTTAAAAGCGGCGTTAAACCTAACTCACTCACTTTGTTAATACAGTATGGTTTAGACTGTGGTTTGTGTCAGGTAATAGAGTGTTACTGAATACATCATCAGCGAACATACGGGTAACAATTTGTACTTTTTCGCGTATACTGACACTTGTCCGAGCGAGTCACATGAATCTTTTCATTTTAAAAGCGATCTCGCCGTATTTAATACAAATATCTCTCCAAGCACATGGTGAAAGAAATACTGTCGCCATTTGTCATACACAATACCACATACATATATTTGCTATCAACATTTGGTATATACAAAATACATGGGCAAAACACTTTGAGTGGAACTTTCAAAACAGCTTTGTACAAAATGAATGATTGCATTCTTTTCATACAAGTCAAAGGGATGCAACTCTGCATGGCGAATTGATGTGCCAAAGACGACAGGGCCAACCGAGACCTAGCAACATCTTGCCTCACGTTCTGCTGCACAAGCCTATCCATGATTTTAAGAGCACCGTCATGAGCACCGTTCCTTCTGACACTTTGCAACTTTCAAATTTGAAACTGGCTCTGTTACATTGTTTGTCACATTACAATGTGTGACTGAATGAGCTATTTGGGTTTCGCGCCCCCTTATTATTATACCATTCACATCAGGCGCGAACGTCAATGATGTACCCACGTGAGGGGTGAAGCCTGGTCTTGAGCCTGATGATCAAAAGGTTTAACCTATAATCTACCTAACCTTCATATTGCGGGGAGCACGGGTGGCCCAGTCGTCTAAGGCGCCGCGATTCGCTCTGCAGAGTTGCGTCCCTTGGGCACGCCAGAAACCTATGATTGTGGGTTCGAATTCCGGTTCGCCCCAATTATGTTTCTAGATTTGTCAGCACCATACCCGTGCTCGTGGGTTTCACCGAAGTGGTAAACGTCTGAGACCTGCATCACTTCGGGCTTTCCTCCCACATTAAGCTGACACGCCGCGATATAACTGGAATACTGTTAAAAGCGGCGTTAAACACCACTCACTCACTCACTCATTATTGCGATATCCATGATAATTGCGATAGATCGCAAAACTCTTTCTTACTAAAAAGACACGTGGACTCTCCTTTAGAGAAAAAGAAAGTGAAGTCAGGAATCCTACCTAATCGTGGAGCGTTGTGACTCTCTGTCTCATTAGTATTGAACTTTCCAAAAAGTCAAGTTCAATAAGAGTTATCCGTCTGGAGTTGGAACTCTTCAATTGGTAGGATGAACTTCCGCCGCGTACTGTCAACTTCCGTCGCCGCCCTTTTGAAGGTTTACACGGCGGAAGTTAACGTGAAAAGGGGACATCACTCTAATTTTCTTTGCAAAGGGAGATAACAACACTTTTCGGAAAGTCGAATTCAATACGGATCAATATTTAGTCGACGTATTTTGTTCACGTGTAACCAGGTTGTCCCGATACTGTTATGATCTCACACAAATCACTGGAAATTATGAAAATGTTCTATTAGTAAAAGTTAAATATAGTAGAGGCGAAACGGATTTAGTTTGTGAGACAAGTGAGTTCACGCAGCCCTTGAACAGCACTTCAGTTATTTTACATCTTCCCGAGGCAAGGGAATTAACTGACTATAAAAGTGAGTGGACCTTTATAGTCAGTTAACTCCCTTGCCTCAGTAAGATGTTATATAACGGCGTGTCAGCATTTGCATATCAGAGAGCACAACAACATTTTGTACTGAGGATTGCAACAACTGAATGCCCTCATGCCCTCATGCCCTTATGCCCCCTCATCGTCAGAGCCCTCAGTAATCAGATGCATAGGACCCGTGAAGATTCCGGGGTAGAATAGGTCTTCAGCAACCAATGCTTGCCGTAAAAGGTGACTATGCTTGTCGTAAAAGGCGACTAACGGGATCGGGTGGTCAGGCTCGCTGACTTGGTTGATGCTATCATTGATCCCAATTGCGTGGATCGATGCTCATGATATCAATCACTGGATTGTCTGGTCCAGACTCGATTATTTACAGACCGCCGTCATATAGCTGGAATATTGCTGAGTGCGGCGTTAAACAACAAACCAACCAACCAATCAGATGCATAGGCATGCTTGAAACTAGGTTAACACAACGTCACGTTGCAAACGTCTTTGGTGTCAGCCAAAAGTGTTGTCAGCAGGGCATAGAATCGACACCAGACGTTTGGAGTAGCTACCCAGCGACATGCAGGTGGTCGACAGCGTTCCGCCACACAGCGGAAAGTGGTTGGTTGGTTGGTTTGTTGTTTAACGCCGCACTCAGCAATATTTCAGCTATATGACGGCGGCACAGCGGAAAGACAGGTTTCTCCTGATTGCACTTCGTGACTGCCATGATCACACTCTGGAAATACCTGCGGAAAGCCAGTGACGTCAACGTTTCTAATCAGACAGTGCGTAATCGTCTCCGTGAGGCTGAGTCATGTTTTACCGATATGACCGGGTTGGGGTTCATGAGTGGGGAGTTGTTTGATGTTGGAATAATTGAAAAAATAGAAAAGTTATGAAGTGAGTGGTTTTTTTCTTTTATTGTCGTCCATTTTGTGAAAAAAGATACGACTCTTTCATGAGTCACTTTAAAAAATCGATAGGTATATCGGAAGGAAATTCACGACATCGAACCATTTATAGACGTAAACAAGCTCGACGTCATTTGGAAAGTAGTTCGGTTACTTCCGGGAAAACGTGCATTTATGATGTATAAAAGCAGGTTTTTGTGCATTTATTGAATATAAATACAAGATTTCGGTAGCTCTCGACCAGTCAGATTTGCCTAAATGTGTGTAACAAATTTATTTTGTATTTTTTTTGGGAATATCACATATCTAAGGTTGCGTCACTTTAATACTTGTCACTCTTAAAAATAAAATTATTACAAGATAATTTTATATATGGCACAAACTGGAGACAGTTGCCACACGGCGGACGTACTGTTGTACAGTTTAACTTTACAGATTGGTAATTACAAGGCATATTTCCCTTCTCATTGTACCAAAGGTGAATAAATAACGGTCAGATTTCAGTTCTGTTTCGGGCAATAAATGATTCTGACACTTTTCTGCAGGCATTTGTTACTCATACTCAGTAATGTATGCATCATTTGATACAACAATTACTTCATTTATTTCACAGCGGTTTGGTAGCCTAGTGGTTAAAGAGTTGACTCATGGCGCTAATTAAGGCTATATCTGCACATGTACTTTGTGATAAGCCTATTTTTCCCATCTCAATCGTGATATTGCTTTAGCATTGCGGCATATGGCAACCACATTCATTCACTGTCAACACCATACCTGTGCTTGTGTGTTAAGCCAAAGTGGTAAACGTCTCATCTTCCCGAGGCAAGGGCGTTAACTGACCAAAAGTCCAGTTTCCACCCTTGCCGAACTAGGTTGGAATTACGGCTGGACTAACGTGTCTATGCATAGTCTAATCAAAATAGCGAAACGCACTAGACATCCGGTTCGTAACCACCATGGATTTCAACGTGCAGATGTCGGTCGACTGAAGGATGTGCAAAGCACGTGTACCGTCGACTGGGATTTTTGCAAATCTTTTCATGTCTTTTATGAAGGTGCTCAAATGATTTGATGCATTGCGCGGGATAAAACCCGTTTTATTACAATATAGATCTCGATTATCGAACAGATCGTCTTGACTGGGCGCCGCCATTTGTTTGAAACAAACGCAAGTGATATGAAAGATTGAATCTGATTGGTCAATAGAAGGGAAATAGAAGGGATGTAACTCGAAATAGCCACTGGTGGCGCTACGCCAGAAATTCCAGGCTAGTTCGGCAAGGGTGGAAACTGGACTTTAATAGTCAGTTAACGCCCTTGTCTCGGGAAGATGTAAACGTCTGAGACCTGGATCACTTCGGGCTTTCCTTCTACATTAAGGGGCGCACAGGTGGCCCAGTCGTCTAAGGCGCCGCGATTCGCTGTGCAGATTTGCTACCCTTGTTCTCGTCAGAAACCTATGATTGTGGGTTCGAATCCCGGTTCGCCCCGATTATGTTTCTAGGTTTGTCAGCACCATACCCGTGCTCGTGGGTTTCACCGAAGTGGTAAACGTCTGAGACCTTCATCCCTTCAGGCTTTCCTCCTACATTAAGCTGACACGACGCGATGTAACCGGAATACTGTTAAAAGCGGCGTTAAACCAAACTCACTCGCTCACTAATATATCTGTAGAATAAACTAGGCAGTGAGTTACAGTCACCTTGACACGTATGCACCTGTTACGTGTCGGAACATCGTCAGGACCGACCTTCGTCCACACATCATTGCTGTTTATAGTATCTGATTACTTGATGTCAGTACAACACCAGTGTATAAATCAGACGGCGACAATGACGCATACTGAACTACGAAGTCATTACGTCTTCCTTGAAACAGCCGCAGGAAATTATCATATGTGACATTTATGTAAGTGGACTGAATCTTTTATTGTTTGTTAATTATTAAAACAGGATCTTTCCCAAAAACTGGAAATGCAAATCATAAATAATAATGATGATTACACGCTAAGTATAATGTGTAAGCTGAGATTAGATCACATCTCTGATAAAGGAACATTACCATTTCGTGCAGTTATGTTATTATCAAAGGCTGATTACGCGCGACATTATGTGAGTTGATTAACAATAAACGTGTTAACCTTCAGTGAGTATGGTCCGCACCAATCCCTGGTCTTCAAGCGTGTGTATATAGTGTGGGAGAGTGACCACGCGTTGGTAGTCAGTACCATCAGCACTGATTCCGTATTCCATACTGTCGGAGGGTTCGTGGGAAAACGCTACGCGATGCGAGTCATCATTCCTTGTGCATTGCTCTTTGCATTTTTCGTAAGTTTTTTTTGTTGTTTCTTTTGTTTCTTTGTTGTAAAACGCCGCACGCAGATAATATTGACGGCGGTCTGTTAATAATCGAGTCTGGACCAGACAATCCAGTGATTGATATCATGAGCATCGATCCACGAAATTGGAGTGAGTGAGTATGGTTTAACGCCGCTTTTGGCAATATTCCAGCAATATCACGGCGGGGGACACCAGAAATTGGCTTCACACATTGTATCCATCTGGGGATTCGCTCCCGGGTCTTCGGCGTGACGAGCGAACGCTTTAACCACTAGGCTACCCACCACCCCAGCAAAAAATAGGGTAGCCAATATCTATTGTCATCGAACGGTTCCGAACATGTCATTAGAAATTTGATTGGCATGCCGTAAAAGGCGACTATGCGTGTTGTAAGAGGCGACTAACGGGATCGGCTGGTCAGGTTCGCTGACATGGTTGATGCATGTCATCGTATCCCAATTGCGTGGATCGATGTTCATGATATCAATCAGTGTTTTGTCTGGTACAGACTCGATTATTTACGTCATATAGCTGGGAAATTTCTGAGTGCTGCCATATACAACAAACAAACAAGCTTAACAAATGTACTATATTTTACCTGTTGGCGTGGCTGCTCGTTGAAACGATATAAACAGTACATGTTGATAAATGTATCTCACAATACCGTCCTTAATTCAAATTAAAAATGTTCAAATCTGTTCTTTTTAAGTGGACGTCTTCAGCTGAGAAAGGTACGTTTGCTATTCCTCAGACATATTAAAGTCTTCTAAGTCACCTTCCCAACAGACCATTTCAATGTTCAATTTGTAATGCCAATTTCCAAACACACCACGTCAGTTTCCGACAGCGTTTTTGGCAGTTTGGGGCAGGAACCGGCTATTTGATATTTCGGGATTTTGTATCGAGATGTGATTATTTTTCAGCGGCAGCTACAAAACCAGTAACTTTGAGCCTGATGTTTTTTAAATTAAGAGGCCTTGTAATAATGAGATTTTTGTGGCAGGTAATTTCTTATTAACAGTCTGAGGCATTATTATTTTTTTCAAGAATTTTCGGGGACAGTTCTTTTTTATCGAAAAGATCCCAGGCCCAAGAATATCAAATGGTCGTTTCCTTATGCCGTGTCAAATTACTATTACGTATCATTTTTTATACATGACTGAAACAAGAAATGGTATTCGATGGTGATATATTTGATGCCGGTAGTTTTGGGCCTTTAGATTTCAATGTTTCGGTGACTGGTTTCAGCATAATAACATGTTGATAACGTTTGTAAATTCTTGGTCAAATCAAATGTTTAAGTGTGTATATTCTTTTGGCCGGCAGTTTAGTTTACAATCTCCTTGCTGCCGTTAAAGGATGGGCTTGTATTATATAACATATCACTGTGCTCCAGCTACAAGGACATAAATCTACATCAATCGGTTTTCGCATAATTCATTCATAATACAATGTCATGGCTATTGTCTTTGTTTGTTTTTTTCTTTTTTGTTAAACCCAAACTCAGCAAAATTCCAGCTTTTTGTCGGCGGGCTGTAAATAATCGAGTCTGGACTAGACAATCCAGTGAATGGCATCATGAGCATCGATCCACGCAATTGGGACACGATGATATGCAACCAAGTCAGTAAGGCTGACCACCCGATCCCGTTAGTCCTTTTATAGTCAGTTAACGCCCTTGACTCGGGAAGCGGTAAACGTCTAAGACCTGCATCACTTCGGGCTTTCCTCCCACATTAAGCTGACACGCCGGTATATAACTGGAATACTGTTAAAAGCGGCGTTAAACCAAACTCACTCACTCACTCACTATATTAATGTTACGTCGACATACATCCATCTTTTCAGAATGCGGAGGAAAGCCAGCAGATGTGATATTCGTCCTCGATTCTTCCGCAAGCATTTATGCTGACGACTTCCGTAGACAGATCCAGTTTACGCGCGACGTGGTGTCCCTCTTTGACATTGGCCCTGAAAAAACCCGAGTAGGTGTCGTCCTCTTCAGCACCGACGTATACCCTGTCTTTGGATTGACGCAGTTCGCTGACAAGCCTGCCGTGGAACAAGCTATCGAGGGGATTATCCAGCATGTAGGAGGCACCCAGACACAGAAGGCTCTCAAGCACATCAGAGAAAGAGAATTCAAGAAAAATGCCCGTCCGAAAGTTCCTCAAATTGCCATTGTGTTGACCGATGGTCAGTCCTATGACCGCAACGCGACCGTTCATGAAGCCATTCTCAACCACGAGGCAGGGATCACAACTTTTGTCATTGGTATCGGATTGGGAGTTGATATGACAGAGTTATCTGACCTTGCCAGTGACCCAAGCAGTTCCTATTTGCATCAAATTGGGAACTATTCGGCTCTTCAAGGGATAAAGAAAATATTAGCAATTGAAACCTGTAAAGGTAAGCTTCGAAAAAGCTTAGCATGTGTTTTAGTATAATTAGTATAAAACACAGTGAAAACATCGAAAGGTTCCGAATTTTGTCCAAATAGACTTCATCACTTGGGGTGCATAACATTGATAGTACAGATGTGTGTGTGGTTATCACGCGCATTATTTCCAACAATGTGTTATATTTGGCTGTGTTATACTATTTAAACCATCCGTAGTGGTTGAATAGGAGTGACCGAATTTCTTAAATGAATAGTTTGTTCAGCAATATGCACAAAATGAATAGTTGTTGGCAGTGGTGACAAAAATGAATAGTTTGGTTTGTGGACAATACCCAAGCGCCTAAAAATTGTGTTAATTGTGACAATGAATATATTGTTTGAGGGTGCTAAGTAAATAAATGGTGTGTTGGATATAGCTCGGACAAAAACATTGTTCTAACTTCCTCACACCAAATATATCAAGTGGATGCCTTCCAACTGAAATTTGGAGCGGCGTTAAACCCAACTCACTCACTCACTCACTCACTCACTCACTCACCCACCCACCCACCCAAGCCTATGTTTTGGGTCTTTTTATGTTGTTGTCTCGTGTTGTTTGCTTGGGAATATCTTTTTATAATATTGATTTAATGTTTTATTTTGTTTGCAGTTGTAGTGTGTCGGTTTGGAAGATGGAGGTGGGGTGTGTGTGTGTGTGGGGGGGGGGGGGGGGGTGTGTGTGTGGGGGGGGGGGGGGCGTATTTGGTTTCTTTGAAAATGTATTCTCTGAACACGAGAGAGAACTCTTACCGATGGATATACAAATAATTAGAGGTATTCAGCATGTTAGACGTCTAACAATTTTGTCTTGTTTTCCACATGTAGTCAAGTACGTGAAACCGACGCCGAGACCAACTCCCCGTCCGACCATACAAGCTGACGCCCCTGTTGGTGAGACATTACCAATACTTCCCGTGCATGTGTTTCCTAGAATGTCCGCATTTCACTTTCTGTTTTTTAACACAGAATGTTTTTAACGGATATAAGTGTCATATTTTTGCTGATTTAGCTCACAGGATAAAAGTGTAAGTTAGTTTATGATAGCACGGCATCGTGTTCACAGTATTTCTGTTAACTTGCCGCGATTTCTCCGAGCGGACCGAGAGAATAAAAAGAAACTTACGTCTAGAGCATAACATGACTAAGCATTGTCTTTTTCAAAATATATATATTTTGTTTGGGTTAAATATGTACACCGGACTCCTGGGCCCACTTGCACAAAGCGATCTTAGCGCTAAGACTATCGTAAGCCTATGTTAAAGTATGGGAGTTACGATCATCTTAGCGCTAAGATCGCTTTGTGCAAGTGGGCCCTGTTGTACAAACACATTGGTAATTGGTATTTTTAGTCGAGATATGAAACATGTTGATCCATTAAATTTTCACATTAAAATATTTAACAAATACAACTGCCAGGAAACTTCATAATGCAAAATGTCGTCTTGAGCTTTAACCTCACCATGCTGGTAGAAGGTATTCCACGTGCTCTCTCTCTCTCTCTCTCTCTCTCTCTCTCTCTCTCTCTCTCTCTCTCTCTCTCTCTCTCTTAAACCATTGATGCTGCTTACAGTATATAATAATCCTTTAAATCGTGGACAATGTGTACGTAAGAGATTTTACGTTCGCTCGCCCGACTGCACCGTCACGGCACGGAGTTGATCACTCAGGGGTAGATCATTTGCCTCGGTTTCTTAAAACAATATAATTTGTTCCAGAAAAGCAAAACTTGAAAAAATACTTTGTCGCCAGTTTTTTTCCAAAACAAAATATTTGTTTGGCACATAAAAAAAATGGATGGAAGAATATCCTGTCTCTTATAAACAAAAACAGCAACCTGGTTGATGCATGTCATCGTGTCCCAGTTGCGGGGATTGTTGCGCATGATTTCAATCACTGGATTGTCTGGTCTAGTCGATTATTTACAGACCCCCGTCATGAAGCTGGAATATTGCAAAGCGTGGCGTTAACATCAAGTTGACGCTCTGATATAGAATCAAACTCACTCTCACTCAGTTCTTCACCCACTCACTCGCTCATCCAGTTCTTCACCCACACGGTTCTCTCTCTCTCTCTCTCTCTCTCTCTCTCTCTCTCTCTCTCTCTCTCTCTCTCTCTCTCTCTCTCACACACACACACACACACACACACACACACACACACACGAACACACACACACACACACACACACACACACTCACTCATTCACTCAACCAATCCGACTTACCACAACAAAACAGTTAATACATTGTTATGGAATTGATGCGATTAAAGGTCAGGAACATAATTTTCGTACAACACGCACACACTCACAGTTTGTGTTTTATTATGTTCCACGAGTAACCAAAACAGATGATATGTTGACAGAGTTTCATTTTCTTCTCACGCAGATGCCAGTGAGTGTACCCTCAGTCTCATCATCGGCGTGGACACTAACGGCGTCAGCACTCGCTACACGAAAAACATCCTCTCCTTTCTCTCCGAAGTCACAGAGAATCTGTCGGGTCTCTCCGGTAAGGTCCGCACCTCACAGATCATGACAGAATGTGCCGATTCACCTCGAATCGTTAGATCCAAGAGTTATGCCCCTTTGATCAAAAAAATGCGCTATCAAATACCAAAGACATCAAGCCGCGTCAGATCGGCTGGGATTTTATTCATCAACAGCGACATCGAAGATGCATCAAGAGCTATGAGCGAAGTAAGGAGAGCAAGATTTATTGGATTCCACCTCTTTCTTGTCGTTGTTGGCTCCAATAGAGCGGAGGACGATCTGTCAAATCTACTGGGTGTAAAAAGTAGTTCCAAGGAATACGGCGGAAGTGTTTTTAAGTCTCCATCCTACAGTAAATTGCCTGTAATTGTATCCGGACTTACACAGGCGCTAGCGGAATCTGGATCGTGTGTGTGATGCTTCATGTAGAAATAGAAATGTCCAGTGCAATAAATGATATAATAACATGTTTGATATTGTCCTCAGATATAAGAATGATTTCTAAATCAGCCGAGCTAGGTCAATGTAATTTTAATCATTTAAGTCACGTAGGTTATATTGATTTTGTGCAACATCGTCAGTGACGACCTGCGCAAGGTCAGCGACTTTGTAGATATTATGGCGTCACAGCTAATTTCGGAATTAACACTGCGTATGAATAATTCTCTCAATCCCTAATTTAAAAATGACGTGTCTATCGAAATCGCGAAAAGTATATTCAAAAACATTAAAAACAAGTTTGATTAACAATTATGAGAACAACTTCTATTTAGTTGTGTTTCTCCACATGCTGCTGACAAGACGGGTTCAGATAACACATAAGCATTTGATGTATCGTGACGTCATTGCATTCCAGTATGACATCATGTTAGTTCAAAGTGACGTCATTTATAAACTTCAGTGTGAAAGACTGAGTTTTCCGATGATGAGGAAAGTGATATTTTGATTGCAGTGAACATAACTCTTGATATTTCACAACAGTGAACATAACACTTTGACGGAACTATTGACAACTCCCCTCAAATTGTCCCCCTTTATCGTAAGTGTCTTGATTTCCCTTTTACGTTAATTCCACACTGACAGGGGAAAATAAGGACAGGTGGTCATTTATAGAATTAATATCGCCTCATGGCGTTTGTTATTCTCTTGAAAATGTTCCGTTATAAAGTGTAAATTAATCACTTAACTCGTCAGTCGAGACCAACGTGTATTCCTTCGCTTCAAACTGCGGTCTCCAAGTTAAAATTGATTTTGTATATAATCATAATTATCTATATGATGCAGAATTTTCGCGACCCTAAATATTTTTTGTTTCTCTTTTATATATTGTGTACGATTTTGCAAACACTAAACTACTTTTATAGTCGCAAAAACAAGGGGTGGTGACCCGTCCCTGTGTGTTAGGTAGGGAGAATTTACGTTTCAAGGTTTTACGTTGGTAATGAAATAATTAATTTTCCGGTAGCCAACGACACAATAAGCAAACAATAAAAAGGATATTCCATGTGTCTCGTGACATATCCTGTTTCTCTCATCGAAATATCTCCTTTCCCCTGTCACTCGATGAAATATCCTCTATATGTACCTCACCACTGTGAGAGTGAGTGAGTGAGCATGATTTTACGTCGCTTTTAGCAATATTCCATCAATATCACGGCGGGGGACACCAGAAATGGGCTTCAGACTTTGTACCCATGTCGGGAATCGAACCCGGGTCTTCGGCGTGACGAGCGAACGCTTAACCACTGGGCCCCTACCACTGTGAGAGGTCTAGTAGAAAGCGGTAAATACGGACAATCACTGCACACTTTCGTATTTTATTTTATCTCGACAAATACTTTGGTGCGATCATTTGATATTCTGGGAGCCCCGGGATTCTTTTTGAAAAGTGAATCTGTTCCCGAAAAAGCTGAGAAGATATAATTTGTACCAAAGTTCAAAAAGAACAAAGTCGTTCACTAGGATTGTTGGCTGGAAATAAAAGCAACAAAGCACTTTCCATAACCAAATCAACGCTCTGCTTAAAACAAAGTCAATTGTAAGAGTGTTACCCACCAGTGGCACCTGTAACCAACACATGCAAAGGCAAGTCAACTGATCACCTAAAAATACCCGGAAAATGATGGGTCAAATGTCAAAATAGGAAATTGTAGGACATAATTTTTGTCACTGATGCGTCAAATTTGTAAATGTCCTCTACACGTCTACCATAAAATGTTTTGAAAGCTTTACTAAAACCTTGCGGCGTAAAACAACAAACAAACTAAAACCTTGCATGTTACCCTGATCAAACAATCGATTATTTGCAGGTCACTATCCTATAGCAGTAATATTGCGGCGTTAAACAACAAAGGAAACAATTTGAGAACAACGACCAATGCACAAGAAACTGCGACTTGTTTATGATGACTTCAGAGTGAGTGAGTTGGGTTTAACGCCGCCTTTTACATTTATTCCAGTCATATCGCGGCGGATCAGCTTAATGTGGGAGGAAAGCCCGAAGTGATGCAGGTCTCAGACGTTTACCACCTCGGTGAAACCCACGAGCACGAGTATGGTGTTGACAAACCTAGAAACATAATTAGGGCGAACCGGGATTCGAACCCGCAATGATAGGTGTCTGGCGTGCCCAAGGGACGCAACTCTGCAGAGCGAATCGCGGCGCCTTAGACGACTGGGCCACCTGTGCCCCCTGATGACTTCAGATGACAGTTGTGATTGACAACAGACAACCTATACCTTCAGCTGCCTCATTTCGGGTTTTAGCGATATACACATATTTGATTATCTCACACTTAAATATACTTGCGGGAAGTAAATGACGGCGGTCTGTAAATAATCGACGAGACAATCCAGTGATTGACATCATGAGCATCGATCCAATTGGGATCGATGGCGTCAATCAACCAAATCAGCGAGCCTGACCACCCGATCCAGTTAGTCTCCTCTTACGACAAGCATAGACGCCTTTTACGGCAAGCATGTGTTGCTGAAGACCTGTTTACCCTGGATCTTCACGGGTCATGCACGTGCAACATCACTTGTTGGGCTATAAAAACGTTGGGTTTCCATTTGCATGCCACCACAATCTTACAGCAATTGAATAGCGAAATCATGTCACGACTGACGGACGCTCAACGCAACAACGCCATCGGCCTGGTGCAAACAGGAAAATCGTCTTCAGCCATAAGCAGGTTTTTCCACGCACAATTACAAGACTCTGGAACTGTTATCAGACACACGGTACCTACTTGGGAATCGAACCCGGTCTCCGGTGTGATGTTCCTTGCTTCAACTATAAGATTTTCCTATCCATCAGTAACTTCGAGACTCAGTCGTGTAAGTCGCCGCAGTTCACCTACTAGAGTTGCCTCCCTTCGACGTTTCAGGAACCTATGATCGTGGAGTCGAACCCCAGATTCCCCCTGATTGTGTTTCTAGCTATGTCAGCACCATGCCCGTGCTCGTGGGTTTTACCAAAGTAGTAAACGTCTCAGACCTGCATCAACCCGGGCTTTCCTCCCACATCAAGCTGACACGCCGTGATATGATTGAAAAACTGTTCCAAGCAGTCAAATAAAACTCACTCTGTCAGTTTTGCGTGTGTGCCTTAATGTTGTACTTATTGTATCATAGTATGGCACGTACTAGTATAAGATATACACGCTGAAGCATATCAACACAACTACAACCATATAACATGCATGTACACACAGTATCAATACATCAATACATCAAGTACAGGGCGCATGGGTCGCCTAGTTGTTAAAGCATTCACTGGCAAGAGGTCAGATTTCAATTCTCTGCATAGCTAATTGTGAAGATAATTTATGGTGTCCCCTGCCGTAATGTTGCTTGAATATTGCTAAACTCGACGCAAAGCCATCCTCATTGACTTTGTAATGTAGTGGAATTAAGATATTACACTTCTATGCATCTTGTTGAAGGGAAGGACTTAGGAACTTGTCAGTTCAAATCGAAGACCCGTCGCATCTACCTATTTTTACGTATTAAAACCTGCATCAACTGTCAGATGTATAGCAGATACATTGTACAGCGCTGACCATGATGAATGATCCGTCTCTATAACTGGCCACCTGTCAAACAATTGATTGACTTAATGTTGTGCAACAACTGACGAGCTTAATCTCATGAAGTAATGAATTGTAACGTGTGACTAATATCAGTAACGTCTAGACGTGTGGTCAGTTGGTCACACCAGCAGGATCGGGACAGACGGAGACACAGTACGTATGTTTATGTTGTAATCTTGTTAACGTTGGGAGGTATTTTGCTGTTTGGTGTGATTCCGTTCGTCCATTGCATAAGGTTCACGGATCAACAAAATTAGATCTATATCACGACATTATTCGCTGAATTTGAAACCAGTCCTTTTAAATGCTCCAGTCCTACAACAATACTCATAGGATAATCGATAATATTACGAACGACTACGCAGGGACTTTAACAACTTAACTGAAAGGGTATGTTCGCTAAATACATATTCCTATCGGAAATAAACGATAAAAAACAATTCATTTTCACATTCATGTAGGCCTATAGTTTATGTGTTAGGAGTAGGTGATTCTGTTACCTACATGTACAATCCGGGATAAAATAATTCTTAAATCTTTTCTGTGGTCTTAGAACATTCTCAAGACTTATTTCGCCTCTCTATTAGCTTTGTAAATGACTGATCGTCCGTCGTACCGCGGTTAACCCGTTAAGCCTTGCATATTTAATTTATATATTTTGAAAAATCTTTTGTGGAAAATATTTCAAAAGAATGTTTTGTCAAAGTCTAAAACTACGGATGCATTTTATGTTGAAAACGTATGTATGTGTTTCAACTCAGAGAACATACACAGGGCTCGACAATTCGTATACACGAAGCTGTTCACATATATACCTTGCACTGTTCACACACATGCACCTTGCACTGTTCACATAAACTCCTTGGACTGTTCACACATACACCTTGTACTGTTCACACATACACCTTGCACTGTTCACATAAACTCCTTGGACTGTTCACACATACACCTTGTACTGTTCACACATGCACCTTGCACTGTTCACATAAACTCCTTGGACTGTTCACACATACACCTTGCACTGTTCACACATACACCTTCCACTGTTCACACATGCACCTTGCACTGTTCACACATACACCTTGTACTGTTCACACATGCACCTTGCACTGTTCACACATGCACCTTGCACTGTTCACACATACACCTTGCACTGTTCACACATACACCTTGCACTGTTCACTCATACACCTTGCACTGTTCACACATGCACCTTGCACTGTTCACACATCCACCATGCACTGTTCACACATACACCTTGCACTGTTCACACATGCACCTTGCACTTTTAACACATGCACCCTGTACTGTTCACACATACACCTTGCACTGTTCACACATACACCTTGTACTGTTCACACATACACCTTGTA